TAAAAGTCGCTTGCTAACTACATTTTGCAACACTATTGCATTGTTACAATTTGCACATTATAAATTGGTATAAATGACGATATTCAATGCTGAATATTACAACTGATAAGATTACAAGTAAAATTAAAGAGATGAAACACACCAGTATTTCTCATTTTTCAACCCGTTTTTTTTCATTCCGAAAATAAAATAAAAGTGACTACATTTAAGAAGAATACGTGGAAAATTTATAACGTGATCTTGTATCTTAGAGCTCAAGGGTGTACCACGTTAAAAGATATTTCCTTTTTTCGTGTCTGTGGGTATTTCTAATTATGTTCTCATGCATGGATATGCTCTAAGAATATTTATAAGAACTAAAAAAGCAAGTGAAGGTGATATAATACGTTGTGTAACTCACATGGCGAGTTTCTAATATTGGCCAAAAAAATAAAGGTGTTAGGTTAGTGTGCGTTATAATTGGAGTACGTTCAAGATCACACGAGTGAAATCATAAGAAAGCGGATCATTTTGCACATTCTTTGTATGGTTGAGTAAAAAAACTTGTGGTTTGGCTTAATAAAATAGTACTACGTTCTTAATTGTAAGTTGCATTGACAATAACAACTCAGCATTTATTTTAAAATCAACAGGAGGATCAAATTTATTATGCCTCTGAAAAGCCAATATAGCTACAATAAGGCTATGTACAATTGGCTACCATTCACGTGCATAAAAGTTGTAATTTTACTCAATTCCTATAGCTAAAATAATTGTAAATGTTGAAAAGATGCATAACTACGGGGTTTATTGATTAATTACTAATTTTTAATTTTTTCAGAGAGGCCAAGTCAATTCTACTTGCGGCAGATGAAATATTACCTTACCAGACTTGAATGTGAATGTTAACACATTTTCAATTCCACTCCACCTATATAAATAAGTTAATATCACGTATGTTAATTAGTTAACATGTGTTTTTAGGTTTTTCTTGTTCTTTAGCACAAACACAAAATTATTGGAATATGATAATGAATATGTATAATTTTGGGATGAGTATGAGGGACTAATGAAGAATTTTCGAAAACAGTCACGTAATATTACAAATTTAAACTTTATGAATACTTGAATGATGAATTAATATTCTCTCAGAAATACGAATGACTTTTTACGGCCAGTCAAAAAGCTTTCAGGATTTCATAGAAACTTACTACGGTGACAAAATTTGGAACCCCTTCCTTCCACCTAAATTGTCCCAACGTCAGAAGTCGCCGGGTTGGCCGCGGATTGAGCCCTCCCTCATAATCGATTCCCCATTCCGCATCAACTTCCAAAGAAGACTTCCCGCGTCAACTCGTTGTAATAGGATTCGTGGAACATCGTACAAGTTTCCATACGACGAGTCAAGAACCAGGTAATTCTTCCAACGAATTGCAAATCTCATACTTTCGCAGGTCTTCTACCCTTCCTTGTGACGGTTTAATTTTCTCAGCAATTCACGAGGCTATGAATACTGAGCGTCGGCGCAGAAATTCTGCAACATTTTGCATGATGAATGAAGTTACTGAAGAGGGAATGAAACTCTGTAATGTTGGCTCCACTGGCCTCGATTTTCTTCACGTTACGCGGTGTAAGAGAAATAAAACCTGACAGTGTATCGTGGTGCAAGATTAGAAGAGGTATGTAGACTGTGGAAACGGAAATGAGGGGAAGGAAATGCAATTTGAAGTACAAAAGAAAAAATAAGATAATTGTCTATTTTGATGAGCAAAAAACTACAAGAAAGTTATGTTACTGGCGGTGAAGGAAATATGAAATGTTACCCAACGAAAGAGAAAATTACGAGATGTATAACGGATAAACTTATTTGGTTCACAAAGTAGTCCAATCAAAGAAGACAGACCGTACGAGCTTGTATTAACGTAATTGTATACATTTTGTAGAGGATTAATACAATTTAGATTATTAGGAAAAAATAATCATACATTATAATATTTTCATTTAATTTATATTTTTGACAAATGGAACCCCACAATTTAATAGAACATCTACAAAATTGTTCACACCTGTCGCAGGATATGAAGTCAACACTTCGATAACTTTTTCTTAACTCTCCTAAAAACTCAAATTCGCGGAGAACCGAAACACTTTTTTATTCTCTCTCTCTCTCTCTCTCTCTCCATTGTCTAGTCAGACTTCTTGAACATGAATATTATACTAATAGAAAGCATTATAAATTTAATTAATCGTGCGTTATCCAATTACAACCATTAGGTTTGTATCTCGAAGTGTTCAAAATATTTTCAATTTAGTTCTTTCCTACAATCATGCCGAAAAAAATTCCTGAGAACGAAATCATGAGAAAGTAACCAAAACACCGCCCAACCCATCCATTCCGTAATATAATGTGTGATTTGTATATATTGTGAATTAATCAAATTTATTTATTGTGAATTTGTGTCATTGCAATGAGAACCCCAGTGTTCATTGAAGAACGTGAGCATGAATAATTTAATAATTTTTATCAGTAAATGTGAGATTCGACAATGATTGAAACCAGTGCAGTTAAAGAACTCAACCTGTTGGGCACGTTACTGATGTAACGTGTCCTGCTATCATTCTAGTGCTTCTGCTATTATTCTAGATAACTCAGCTTGTAAACGTTTGGTTTGGACTGTTCTTTACCACGAAATCTGTCTTTAGTTATCCCTAAAGCAGCTGAACCGACAATGGCGCTGTCAGGCGTCACAGGAACCTTACATTACTCACTCACAATGGCTGACGTTACAAATTCTGAGCGAAGAAATCGAATAGGCTTCCACGTATTGATACTCAGGAATTTTGTGGAGAATATTTGTTCCATCTTGTAGAAATTATTTTTAGTAAGTTCCATTATAGTGAAATTAAAATCGATTACATCGGCAAAAAAATTGCATTAAAATGATGGAAAGGTTAAAAACGACTTATTTGCCGAAATTTACGGAAAATACTAAAAATGACGTAAAATAATTGGTCATTTGCTTTTGTCATAACATAAAATGAATTTCTATATCAAAAATAACTTTTCTAAAGTGAAAAGAGAAAACAACATTTCATTATAATCCGTCCTACTCACGACAAAAGAACATACGTCCTATTGATGATTATAGGAGAATATATGTTGTCGAGATATTATAGGAAGGCAGAAACATAGACATTTATAATTTTTTAACTAGTTTCAAAACTTTTCAGAACAAATAATAATAGAATAGAGATAATACCTAAAAGAAGCATAGTTAATTATCGTTTCAAAACATTAATCTGATAAAATAAAAAGACAGGCCCCCAGAAACTCATGAGCGTAATTAATATTGTAAGACTCAACTCTGATCCCGAGAAAAGACCGTATTTGATTTGATTGGACATCAGACTCGTATATATCATTACTAGTTTAAGTTACTAAAATATAAAATGAATAGAAAGAAAGGATTGCGTTTGACCGTAAATTAGTTTGAGGATATGTTGTATAAATATTATTTTAAGTAGCACGAAGTTGTGGCATGATTCATGATGCTAAAAGGGTGAGCAGCTGCTATTTCAGGATTTTTTAAAATTTGAAGACATCTGAATCTTAACAGGCTCTGGTCCTAATTATTTGTGATAAACCTGTCTCCAGCGAGCAGAGGGATTCTAAAAACAGGTTTAATTAGTGTGGATGTCTTAATGAGACGTGATAAATGAAACATTTAAAAAGAGTGATGAATGCAAGGAATGTGAGAGATGAAGATGGGATAACTCTTGCATTAAAATGAAAGGCAAATTGTCCCCAAAAATTCCTGCGACATGGAACAACTACAAATTCTAAATGGAGAACAGGGGAATTTATTTATTTATTATTTTAACGTTAGAAACTGTGATTAATATGTAATTTAATAAATACAAAAATATCCTCAAAATATCAGCTTAAAAAGGCACAAAATCGGGAATTGGAATTAATAATTTTTACGGAAATAAATTGATATGTTACGTAAGGTAATGGGGCCCCTTTCACCATTTTTTTAATGGGGGCACGTCCCCCTACACGCTTGTGATTAGTTCTAGTTGATCTACACAGGCGGTGCTGTGCTGGATAGAGAATGTGCACACCATTTCTCGGAAACCATACGCGTTTTTTGGTTTATAATGATTCTTGTTCATCATCTGGTGATGCATAAGATGCTCTATTTTGTTGGAGGTTGCCCTAAATATCCAGGACAAAACTAGCAATTGGAGCTGTGTAATGACACAAACCATTAATCATCAACTAGTAAATTAAAGAGTCTTGGATGTTACGTGTATGCTAGTTACTATGTATACGACTATTCTCTAAAGTGCGTGTGAAGGAAGTGAACACAACTAACAGAGATCGGTTCATGTGAAGGCCGATCAACACAGATAGTAAGACGGTGAGCTACCTATGGAGAAATAACATCAGGTACTACACGGTCTTCACTATAAAATGATTATCTTCTATTATTCATACCAACTTGCCGTAAAAAATTTAAGTCATATTATTTAGATGTGAGTAAAACCACCTCGCGTACGCTAAGCCTAGTTCGGGTTCCTTGATACAGAGTAGGTATTCCTTTATGCCGCCGATTCAACTCTCCAGTTGTCAGGAGACTTCAAAGTATGTGGTACTGTTTCTATTGGGAACTGTATATCCACTTAAAATCAACATAAATATATTCAAAAATCTACATAATACCTTCAATTATGAACATTTTTGAAATCTTGTGTACTGTCTGTCCGGTGAGAGAATATTAGTTAAATAAAATCAGCGATTACCGCAGAAGTATTCTGGAAATCCATATGGGTAGATAAAAAAGAAATGATCTTCCGCTTTAAAATACCTATTTTACACATTCGGATGTTGCACTTTGAGGCCAGACGATGTTTGGGAATTGGAAACTATTAAAGAATCTCGTAATGATGTAAAAATACTTTTTTCAGAACAAATTAAAGACGCCGATTAATTTTATAAAAATTGCTCAGTTTTTGGATTATGCGATTACAATTAAGCGAGGTGAGTCTCTTTAACCTAGATATCTAGTGTGTATACAGCAACAAGAGGACAAATAAGCTGATGAAGTAAAACATTTATGCGAAGAGATACAATCTAAGACGATGTTCAACCCTTTTACAACCTGTAAAAACAATCTTCAATTGTCCCGAACTAAGCATGTATTCTGATTTAAATATTACGAAAATTGACATGGATCAACTGGGACGCGATTATTCAGTCGGAAGTTTCGTTCCAACGTATTTTTTTATTTTGATTTTTGATTAAAGTTTCCGATTGGATAACTGCGTCCCCGTTGATCAAAATTCAATTTGTCTTACCATGAAGTCTGTAAAAAGAAGACTCAACTCTGGTGATGAGGATTGATGTACGAAACGCATCGGCACCTAATCGGACTTAGCTTCACCAACATCACTCGGTCACTAGGAGAACCTTTTAAAACACTTTCTACCAAAGGCCATCAATCCCATATGAATCGCAGCAAATAAAAATATTTGATGTCACATTTTGCCGGTTTGAGTTAACAGTTCTTAAAAAAAATTCAACATTGCATACACAAAATTTCATTGTCTGTCACTTCTGTGACGTTCGTTCAGAGACCTTCAACTGTTGATATTGAGCAAAAATGTTCGATGTCCGGAACTGAGGACCTTTTTGCTTAGTCTTCAAACTTTGAAGCTCCTGGACATCGAACGGTTTCGTTTTCTCCGATTTATCTGCCATGTAAACGCTATCTACATTTATTTACACATTAAAGTGAAGATGTGTGTCGTCATTGGCCGAAAACGCCGAGATAAGTTCCTTCATTCACAGCAAGGAAATCGCTGAAGTGCAGATGTGCCGATTAGCTGCCATTGTTTCATCGTACATACCCCCCCCCTCCCCACCACCATGTCTCTATCACTGGAGTTGCGTCCATAATGGAAAGAGAAGGGTGGGTGCAGCGAATTTTGCCCGTTCTGTGCAGCACCAGTTTGCGTCACAAACCACGTGACCACAACTGTGGGAACTTTGTTCAGTCAGTCCAGACGTTGGCCGCCATGTTACAGGGAGAGCAAAAAGTGTTGAGAAACATTTTGAAAGTGGCATAAAGTAACAATAGCAACAAAAAATAACACGATGAAGGTGTAATTGCAATAGAAGATGCAATATCTAAAAACGTGCTTCGTATATCTGTTTTAATAATTTGTAACAAGGTGATAATTTTGTCATTTAAAATTCCCGCTAATATTGTAACGTAAGCTGGTGCCTGAAGCTCATTGGCTGAAGTCGGATAAGATGTGCAATAGCTCACCCATCTCATTCCACCATGATTGAGTCTCCTTCTTCCAGAGTTCATGCGGTCAAAACATCGAGCAAGAATATACTACATAGAGTGGCGGACCTCGTGGTTTTAGCGCTCGTGGTGAACGTTGGCCAAAATAGTGGCCGGCATGTTTTTTGCAATCAAACCATAAGAGGTACTTGATGGTGGCGTGTAGAACGGTTGTCCTGAATCTACGTGTTGAGAGTATCAGATATTATTTCTATATTGTTGTCATTTCGTTTTACTGGATTTAAATTGTATTAGCGGTTAGAATAATAATGTTCCCAATGCCTTAGGTATATTCGGTATATAACTAAAAATAGAAGTCATCAAACCCCAAATATATCATCTTTCAAGTTTGCGGCCTTACTTGTGATCTATTTGTTTGCTTATTATTGTAATAATACTAATTTTCAGGCGTTATGCAACTACAATTACACTTCAACATCTTCCATTATTATGACAATAACCGATGCAGTAAGCAACGTGTTTTTTTAAGTTTCACAATTTGTTATCCTTACATAATGTGATTTCGTTTTTAAATGATTGGTTTTTGGTCGTGAAACACCGAGTAAGAGGATTTATATTACAGGCAGTCCCACGCCACCCAGCCTTAACCAACGCCACACGGAATACTAGAATACTGTTTCTTCCGAGAGCGCTGCTATGACTGCAAAAAAAACATGACTTCAATTTGTCTCAAAAATGGAGATGCTTCAGCCACTCTACGTATTACATGTTCACTTTGCATTTGCAGGCGGAGCGCTGCGATCTGTTTACCTGAGGTCACCGCCGACTGAATGAGAATTGCGCGTCTACATCTATTAGATATGATATAGAGGGCGGTGGGCGGGTATAGGCCCGTTCATTGCAGGGGACGGGCAAGAACATAACTATTGTGTTATAGATATATGCAAAAGAGAAATAAAAATATTATCCGTGTTCTTTATGAATAGCATATATTGTCGATGACAATGTGTATTGTAATGGAGCGTTCTCCATAGCTCTTTCTAATGGTATTAAAAATCCCTTATTCTTTTAATCGCTCCGATAACTCCTTACATTTTTTCTAATTAATTTACTACCAGAATGCACTCTCGCATACCGAAGTAGATTTGTTTTTTCTGAAAACATTACAGCAACTACAAAAACAAAACAAGCACTTTTTCCCGGACTGTCTAGGATGGCGTCAGAATTAGTCAGATTTAGTTGGACATCGGCTCTATTCGCGCATTCTCGGATATGTGATGGTTCATATCACCAGTAGTTCCTGATTCTGCCGACTGCAAATGTATAATGAACGAGTAACAGTATATTCTAACTCTCTGTGTGAAAACAAGCGACGTCCGTCCCGCAGGTAGTTCATCTACCGGGCGCGAGGTGGCAGCAGCGGCGCGGCCGCTCCTACGTACGGGCGGGCAGGCCGGCGTGCACGGGAACGGGGCGAGGCGGTGGTGATGATGTGTGGCGGGGTGGTGGTGGTGGTTGTTGTAGTTGGCGTTGGCGTTGGGGTGGTGGCGGTGGGAGTGGGGCGGGGGCGCCCACGG